AGAAGTTATTATTGAAATATTGCTTATAATATTACCTAGATCATTAGGTACCGCAAAATGGGGTGATAAAAACATTTTTGAACTTTGAAGTATCATAAGACTTTTCTATTTAGGCTTTATAAATGATCAATACATCAAAAAAATGGTCTCGTTGAGCACTTCACATGCGTATAAACGAATTTTTTATATTATGTTTAACAATTTATTTTACATATATTTTTAAGTGCTTTGTTTCTCCAACAGACGGTGTCAATAGAAACATTTATGGTTTTTTGGTGTATTTTCTATTTTACCAACTCAAGGGTCAAAAGAAACAATTGTTGAAAATTGTAATAATAAAGAGAATAAAATTGTCAGTTAAAAACCTTTTTTTATTTATTTTTTAACTTAAATATTTCAGTTAAAAAAATAAGAACAATATAAAGGTAAATTTGCAAAATAAAAATTTAATATTTTTAAATCAGTCTTTAGGCCTTTAGGGTGTCCTTTCCAAATTGAGACATAATTTACACTTTATAAATTGTAGGTAATACTTGTAGACTAGGAACTTGATTTACAATCATACTTAAATTTAAATAATTATTTGTATGTTCTACTATATTATGTGTTTCTATTCACCCCTAAAATGGTCAAAGTCAGTTTAACCTAAGAATTGAAATGATTAATTAATTTTGTTAAATAATAGTTACGATTTTCACAACTAATTTTAACAAGAGAAATTAAAATTTTTATAGTATTTACTTGATAACAAGAACCGTTGATTTTCGTTAAAAATTATTAGAATTATTATCAGTTGCTGTTTATCAATTTTTATCCCTGTGGCAGTAGAAATAAACAGAAAGGTTAGAGTTCATCGAATCTTGTTCTAATCTATACTCGATTTGGTGAATGTTTCATATTGATAATTTCAACATTCAGTCGGGGAGACGTCGCAGTAAAAGCTTTCCCGATTTTGTTTCTATTCACACCATCGTGTCTATTCACCTCGTTTTGGTGTATAAAGAATATAATAAGCAAAATTTAACAAAATTAGTCACAAAAAAATGTTTGATTTGTACTGAAAAATTCCAAAAAGTGGATTTATCTGATTGTTGAAGCGAGCTTTTCAATTTCGGTATTTTAAGCTGTGACTTAATCATTGATTAGCGATTACCTGAAAATTATCGTGTATGGGACACCCGTATCGCTTCAAGCTTGTATAATGGGTTGTATTTTATTATTGGAACTTTTGTAGGTATAGGGCCCTTCAAAATCATTATATTTAGTACAGGGGCCAAAAATTTGATACAGGGGGGGGGGGAGGCAAAGTCAAATTGTTACATTAGGCATAATAATTACCGTATCAATAAGTGAAGATATATATTTAAGAAAAATATGACAATTCAATGTACAACAGATTTAATTTATTATTGTTATTTTAAATAAAGTTAAATAACAACTGCAGTTGTTAAAAAATAGTCTTATAAAATAGTCTCTTTTAAAATATGGAAATATGAAATTTAGGTATTATATATTATTATACCATTGGTTCCCAAATGTTTTTTTTCGGTGATGCCCTGTTTTGGACTAAATTCAACCAAGGTGCCCTACCGTAATTACCTCGAAAAATATACATAAAAAACACTTATTCACATTGTCAATCGGTTCGGATTCGATCAGTCTGAATCAAAATACACGAGATTTAATTTGAAATCAACGAAAATGACAATAAATCATAAATAATTTGTTACGAGCCACGGTGCCCCCGGTAAGTGCTCGCGGTACACAGCTTGGGAACCGCTGTATTGTAGTATAGTAAAATACGGAAGCCGAGACCGTATAATATAATAATAATGGTTACACTTAAAATCATAATACGTCAATGCGATAAAAAGAAACAATAATGGTCTATATAACTATGGACTGTATCTTCTAACTCAAAAAAAGGGCTTTTGTATCAAAACCTATTTTACATTCAGCATTCAACTCACGTGCTCAACATTTAGATTTGATATAGTTATGCACTCACAGAATGTAAATTGATTCTGACTTACAATGATCTATTATTCAGTACTTTTTATCAAAACCAGGATTCGTGACACGTAGGTACCTACCTATGACTGTTAATAAAAAGACTATTGTAAGTGTTAATATTAAATGTATTATGATTGTTCCAAGTTATTGAAAATATATTTTGTAATTATGAATATTTTTAGATATTTAGGCACTTTATAATTGTAAGGGTCGGGTGTGTTAAGACCTGTATTTTTGGGGGGAGGGACTTAATCCCTACTAATGGGGATGGGGGCTTCAGCCCCGGACCCAGACATTATTAGGGGCCCTCATATAATACTCTTATACAGTCATATATTATGGTTTATATTTTATACTAATCAACATTAAACAATTACTTTTAGACGTATGATGTAATTTATTTATAATCTAAAAAATAAATTGAATATAAAAAGCGGATAAGTGGATGTCGCTCTGCTGTACGCCTCTACAGTAGGTCACAAGTGGGTCACTCGTCACTGTAATGGATGGTGTTAATTTTGAATTCAATGATAAAAAATCATTGCATACGAAAAACGATTCGGAGCGAAGACGGTCTGTCAACCTATAATAATATAATATTACTTAGGAATTAGTATATTTGATGGTATTATTGTGATTAAAGTAATATATTTTACTATTAAGTATTATAGTACAACGATTTCATTCATTTTTGCAAAAAAAAAAATAATACATTTGAGAAGTCATTATATGTGTATACAATTTAATTACGTATATTGTATATACTTTAAAAGTTTCAAGTGCCCGTGAATAATATTTTTAAATTACAACAAAATGATTTCAATCATTATTCTTGGTTATTTAATATGTTATTTTGTTCATATTTGAACATAAAACAACTGTGCTTTATATTATGATTAAATATTTTTGATACAGATAAAAAACTGCTTAAGTGAAACTTTCTTTTAAAATTTCAATCCTTAGCTATAAAAGTTGAAAATTAAAAAAATGTTTAACTATAAAACTATTTGTCAATTTTGAATGACGTAAATTTTGTCAACATTTTACTTTAAATGCTTATAACAAATCGCGCCTATATGTATTTTTAATATTTTTCAACTGCTATTGTAACAATATAATTATTATCAAGAGTCTTGTATTAAATATTCATGCTTTTTGACCCAACCAATACAATTTTATTGACATTTATAAAAAAAAAATTACAAAAAAAAGAAAATTGAAAGTGTTCGTCAACAGCTTATAACAAGCCAAAATATTTTAAAAATTTTATCAAGTATATGAATTAATGAAATAAACATTTGGTGTAAATTTCAAGTGTCCACATTTTTGAATTACAACAGTATAAGAAAATCGCTACAAGAGAAATCGAGTGAATATACAATGTTGTAAGAATTTCAACTTTAAACACTCATAAAATTTTAATTTTAATTTTTGGTAAAAATTTTTTATTTAAATAAATATATGAAAACTTATAAGGAAACTTGTAATAAATTTTAAAATCTTAGATTTAAAAAGAAAATTTTTTATGAATTTCTAACTTGAAATAATTTGCGATTTTTCGTGATTTTCGTGAATTTTGTCAAAATTCTAATTTCAGGCGCTCATGAAAAAATATTGCGGAAATACTATCAATTTTTTTTTTAATTTCCACTAACAATTACGAGGAACTTCGTATTACATTTTCAAGTTTTTTGACCAAGCGAAAAATATTTTATCGACATTACTTGAAAAAAAATTAATAATTGTCGAAAATTTGATATGCCTATAAATAGCTCAACATGGATCAAAATATTTTGAAAATTTTATGGCGTATAGAAAATACTAACTAAACATTCAATGAACATTTTATGTATCTACGGTCATTTGTTTTAGAGTTATACCAAAAACGATTATAAATTTATTCGAAAACTGGTTTTACGCAAAAATTCCCGTTTTCCTGTCGCTTTTGAAAACTATTGGGAATTTAAAATTTTGACCCCTTGAATGCACCAACTAGATTCACTTTCTTACCAGAAAAGTTGCTTTGGAAGATGATGGAGAGCTGAGTCTGATACTGGTGATTAGTAGTGAGATTTCCTATACGTATTTAAGTTTATTTTTACTTTTTAGAGTACAGCGAGTGGTCATGATTCGCGTTCACAAACAAGTCTCTGTGGAAATAAGGAATTCTATTATCAGTCATAATATTTATTCAAATACCTATTATTTTTGTATACAACTACCTACTTTTTACATAGCCCCATTTTCAAGATTTAGAAATCTAAAATGTTTAAATCATTTCTCCAATGGTCTTTTTGAGGGACTAAGGTGACTCGGAGGGAGGCTAAGCTGAGTAATAATAATGAAACATCAGAAATGTTTTTTAAATAGTAAGCAAATATACTTGGAAGTCAGAGTAGGTAATTTGTTATGACATTATTGAATTAGAATTTGGTGGAGCTAGCCCTGTACTATGATTAAATATATATATATATAAGTGTGTAATATACTTATATTATGAATGTATTAAAATAATCTTTAATCATATCTTGTGCTCGTGCATAATAAAACCATCAACCTACATGTTAATAATTTCTTGTCGTATATTGTACTCATGGTATAAAAGAAAATAAACACCTGTCCCTTGTTAAATAAAGATTGTTGTTTAGTCATTTTAAAACAACAAATTTGATCACAACTTTTAAAAATACAAACGGATTTTTATAAGAAACTACCTACATGCTTCCTATATTAAGTTTCTTATAATTGAAGTTTAAAACAAAGCATAATCATTGAAATAATAATAAAACCATTTAGCTCTATACAAATAATTAAATCAATTAAAAAAAAAAACCTAAATTTTTCTACAAATAAATTTAAATTGTCATTTGATAACACTACTGTTTGATCGTGTATTTAAAAGAAAATTCAAGAATTGCAAGTGAATTTGTCAATCAAATTATTATAATAAGAAAATTATATATAAATATATATATTAAAAAACCATATCATTAATATTATCCATATTATATTACTAAATTTGAAATAAATTCAAAACAACATGTATACAAAAATCTATCAATTAAACTAAGCATTTGAATTTATCTGCCTTGTGAGAACATATCACTGCCTGTTTGTCTCGCTTTTAGTTTAGCTTGTTCAGGTGATAATGATTCTTCCTCACTGGGTTCTATAGGTTCATAATTTTGTTTCAGTTTGTTATTCTTGAAATCATCTACAATCTTTTTGCGATAAACAGCGTTGAATAAATCTTGTGCTGTAAATTCAGATTGGGTAATTTCAGGAACCCTGTAGGACACGTACGGCTTTAACTGAAAGCAATGTCATAATAGTTCAGTATTAAACTCCAACAACATTTATCTACAAACACTTTAAAACACTCACATTGAAATTTTCCAAATCTGGAACAATAATATCTGGAATTTTTTCTTTGACAGTTACAAACTTGCGGCCAATCCTGACAGTGGTGTCTCGTATTCCATAATCTAGTTTTTAGAGAACAGTGTTTATTACTTATGAGTTAGCTCTTTGATATGATACCTAGTTAATATAATTCAAACATAGATAATACAATTTATTTGATTTGTTTAAGTACCGGAAATTTGAAAATCTTTATTGGGGTTTTCTTCTTGTTGTTTTCTGAACTGATTTGTTCCTCGATTGTACAGTATGAAGTTTTTGAAATTTCTCTTTCCGTTTCTTACCGTGCCAGTGGAAAATGATCTAACAAAGGTTTTTGCAGGGAGCGACATTTTGGGTAATGTTTCTGAAAAGTGAAAGTTCTTTATACGATGCCGGGTAGTTAAAATTACTAAGACAAAAGTTAAAACTTAAAATAATTGAGTATACTTACAAAATATGACAATTTAGTTCTGTAATAATTTTGTATTTACATTTACGCTGAATATTTTATATTCTGTGATAAGACCATGCTGTTATCAGTAAACACTATCTGGTACCGGCTTATCTTTATAGACCGATTTTTTTTAAAATTAATTATTTATTAAAAAGCATACTAAATAAATAATAATAATGTTATAAGGTACCTATTATTTAGTTATGCTTCAAAAGCAAGGTGGATTATTCCACCTTGTTAAAAAGTATAAAATGTATAAGTATTTTATAAGCATTTCGGCTTATCTACCTTCTATCTCGACGTGTTGATGATAGAGTTATTTTCTTAAAATCACACTAAATAAAAAATATTATAAATATATTTAGGTACAATAAATTAAATAAAAACAAAATAGTAAATACTTCCTAATTTTTTAGACTTACAATTCAGGCACATAAAAATTGGATAAACATTTATTAATTATACAAACATTATTAATTCTAAGATGTTTGTTGAAGTTAGTTTGTAGCACGGTAGATTATAGTATACCTATTATAGATTATAATTTATAATCTACCGTGGTTTGTAGTAAGTTCGGCGACTTAATGATTTGCAATCGTAAACCTTATATTAAGTTTGCAACGATGTCATACGCAGTGTTCGGAACCTTCACTAAAAAAATAATGCGTTCATTTAATTTTTCAAAATAGGAATTGTAACAAGAAAATGTTACCTATTATATAAAATAATTAATCCATACATTTTGAATATATATTTATAAATTGGTAAAAAAATTGATGGTCTTAAAAATTGTTCAAGTTCATTAAATTATCAACTTCATTCATGTTGAATTTGAAAAAAAAACAAGTGACGCTAGCATATCGTTCACTGAATATGAATGTGAACGTGCGATCATGAACTCCGTTCTTTCCAAACAATGCGTATACGGTATATACCTCTATAAATAATTATGTAAAACAACCTTAGTCACACAGATAACCATCGTAAAGAAATTGCAGAATATTATAAAATTTAAATATAAGATATATAAATGATCAAAAAATAAAAAATAAATAGACAATATTTATTTATTATATTTATTCTATGCCTATAATATTGGTAGTCAACTCTAAACCGACCATTTCTTTTATATTTTTTCCATTCAATTATGTATCATATACTAATTACCTACTACTAATAATAATTATTATACTCACAACATCTAATGAACAAAAGCGATCAACGAAATTGGATCTTGTAGTGCAACACCACAACTTTACAGCTACTTATCAAATGCTTCCTGGTGAGGGGCCCCAGAGAGAGTGATGCTCCTCTACAACCTATGTGAAATATTTAGACCCAACCCAGGGACGATACTTCTTCAAGACTTCAACTCAACATAATGAAATAAACCCGATGAAGAAAAGTTAACACATACACGTCATAGAGTAAGCATATTATTGTAATTAAAATAACATAAGTAAAGGTATCAAATATGATATCAATATGTAACAACATTTTTTAAAATCTAATTGTTTTTCAGAAACTCCAAATACCCTAAAAGTTGGGGCGTAATTGTAAATAATAATTTTAAAAAAGATAATTTTAATAACAATTATTAATAATAAATGTTCTTTAACATCAATACTTATTTCTTTTTTTTTTTTAAATTTAAATTAGCTTTTTGAATTACATGATACAATAATATAATATAATATATAAAGAGAAGTTTCGAAATTATTTCACAAAATATATTTTAACTAAAATTGTATTATTAAATGATCATTAAAATATAATTTTTCAAACTGCGAAATAGGTATTCTAGAAAAATGTAGCATCAAAATGCATACGAACAAATATTAATTTGTTTTGAGTAATGTCTGGAAACTTTTTAGTTTATTTATCTTATAGCCCTAGGGGCACAATTTCAATGAAAAAACTAGAGGTGCTGAAGGGAGTAACCGAATTGGTTCCCATTGAAAAAGGTATTTTATTAAGTTGAGTCGAATTGGTTCCCGTTTAAAAAGGTATTTTATTAGGTTGAGCCGAATTGGTTCCCGTTTGTGTACTGGTAATTTTTAATTTTTAATAATTGGTAGAAAATATAAATTAGACAGTATAAAATATAAATGTACCTACACGGGCTACACTCTATAATCTATAGTATAATATACAATAAGATGGCAATATATTTATATTAAATTATATTAAATTTCGAAATAATAATACTAGAAAACTTACTAGCAAACAAGAAAAAAATTACAAATTCTTAGAAAATTGTATGACTGAGTACACTATAATGTGAAGCTTACGCGAATTGAATAGTTAAAGAAAGTTTGCTTTTGCTTCAAATTTGCAAATTAACGATTTTAAATAATTGTATTTATTATATTTTATTATTTGTATTTTGTACCTACGCCTAGTGATGACTATATAGTTGATTTCCAAATCAACGATTTAAAATTGTATGTATTATATCATTTTTTTTAAACGGGAACCAATTCGGCTTATCTTAATAAAATATCTTTTTCAAACGGGAACCAATTCGGCACGTGGGGTTGGAGCTCGGGAACCAATTCGGTACCAGTCGTGCTGAAGCAAATTAATTTTTTTTCACATTACCTTATAGTTGTGGATACCTGGATATCACTATTAAAACGTAAATTAATATGAACAAATTTAGGGGTGCTAATCAATCCATGCACTCCCCAAATTGAGTCAATGAATTACAAAAAAACATGCTAAAACAACAACACTTTCAAGCCCTATAAATAACTTACTAGTTACTATTCAATGATAAATGTTTGGGAATTATTAACTATTAACCCCACACTCTACACAGTAATAATAATAGAGCGGTTAATTTACAGAGATTATCTATTAATAATATTATAGAGGAAAATATTAGCCAAAAATGGAAAAGTTATCATTATTATTATTCTATGGCGGGGGCGACTAAACGGTCGATCGCGGACCATTTCAAAGTCGATCATGTTGGAATTTATTTTTGTAGACACGCGCCCTAAAATTATTCGAGGTTCTAGTGAACAAATTGTCGATAAGTTTTGTCTGTATAATTTTTTATCTTTTATTCTGGTTTCGTACGTCAAATGTTTATCCTTCACGCATATTCGTTCCACTGTGTTCATTCAGTATCTGTCGTATTCAATTTATAATAACGTATTTAAGTTCTTTAAAATGTATAAGTATGAGTGCACATAAGGAACAAAAAATATTTTATTTTTAAAAAAAATTTCTATGAAAGTCGATCCTCAAAGGTGAAATATATTTTTGATAGATTGTGACCAAAGATGTTTGGCCACCCCAGTTGTATGGAATAAACACTATCATAAAACCATGTAGTGATAGGCGCAACTAGAGTTTACATTTTTTTGGGTGGGGGGTAGGGTTCTAAAAGTACTGAACACGAAATTCTGAGATTCATTATTTTTCATCTGGGAGGGCTAAGACCCTCAGCCCACCACCACCATAGTTGCATCTATGCATATAGTAGGAACTAATACTTTTTAAATATTAATTACCTAATCATACAATTGAGATTATAACTTCAACCAAAGTTGCTAATAAATTATGTTGTAATTAATTTTTGTGGTTAAGCTTAGTAACAACTTTGCATTAAAAAAATATCATATTACTACAGGATAAATGTATAATTCTATATTTTTATAACGCTCGTTTGGGCTTTAGGTTAGGTTACTTTTTAGTTTTTTTTTATAGTCTTTTGTTAGGTACACCTTCTTAACAAGCACTTAACTAAATTTAATAGGTTTTAAACAAATGTGATTATATGATGTACTGTTATTTATGTCTGCTAGATGTCACATTCACACCTGTTGTATCCTAAATATTTCTTACTAACACTTTTTTTTCGTGTTATCGACGACGCTGCCGGTACTGTTTGCGTATTACGTCGACAACGCCGCCATCGTTTATTTTATTAAAAAAATAAATAATACTACAGACAGGAGACCAAGTAACAAAAACTATTATAAAAGGTTTGTAACCGGCTAGATCATTGACGATGACAGCTTTACTCGCCGCCATCGTTTACTATATTAAAAAAATAAATAATACTACAGGCAGGAGACCAAGTAACAAAAACTATTCTAAAAGGTTTGTAACCGGGTAGATAGTTGACGATGACAGCTTCACTGATCGACTGGAGTCCGCCGCCCTGAACTTCATATTTTGGGTTGCCACGTTGCCTCTTTCGTGTCCTGCTCGCAAAACTTCCTCCGCCTGCCTCGCCATTTCCACCTCTTCTTTGAGTCGAGATCTCATCCACCATCATGTAAAAAATACTACACGTCTCCTATCCACATCATAGAACACCTCGACTCTCATTGGGTGGTCCGGCGGGGTAGGTCCTTGAAGGTAAGACCTCAAAGAATATCCACCAACTGCGCCAAAGTTCCTCACTCAGACCACTCCAATACTGGCACTCGAACAGAGTATGGTTCACTCTTACAGTGGTGGCCACACGCGGTGGTGGTCTTCAGCAAAGTACCTTCAGGACCTTTTTTCCAAGTCACCAACCAATGTCCAGAATAGCTTGCTGTGTCCAAGACGCTTTAGTTGTGCAAGATCTCTCTTGAGTCTCCTTCATCTGACACCGTTCGGTAAGCCCGAATAATCGTATCTGCCCGGGTCCTAGCTGAGGCTGCTACAGTGTTAATCCACACAGGGGCGGTGTATACTGACTCTCCACCACCGAACAGAAGAGTATCCGCTTCCTATAACTCGGACCACTTATGTTAGGCACAAGCAAGGCCAAAGCAAGCGTCGAGCGGGAGGCTATCTTGGCGACCATGTCCACATGTTTTGCAAACATCAGCCTCTGGTCCAGGATGATCCCGACGAACCGCAAGTGCTTACTCATCATTATCAGGTGTCCCCCTATCGTTCTTACTAACACCTAACATAGAACATTTTACGTTCAGAATAATTATTAATCTTACTCTGTTATTTTTAATATTATAGTAAATTGAATCAAATTCAAAAAAAGAATATTATCCTGTCCAGGACTATATATATACTTTTTAAGTTATTTTAACGGGCATTTAAAATCACATGGGCTGAATTTGAATTTGAAACATTAAGGGAGAGGTTACACAATAGCAATTCTCCT